TATATATATATATTTATATATAAATAAATATATTATTTATTATTTATATTTATATATTTTATTATTTTAATTTATTATATTTTTTTTTATTAATTTAAAACTCTTTATAATAATAAAATATTAATATAATTATTTAATATTATATTTTAATTTACTATTTAAATATTTTATAATATCATAATTTTTTTTTTATATAAAATTAATGTGAATATTTTAATATTTATAATTAAAATAATATTTATTTTTATAATTTAATAAATATTTATTCAAATATTATAATAATTTCTAATAAATAACTAAAACTAAAGGAATAAGATTTAACACTTATAATATATGAAATTGCTCTATTCGGAATAATCTCTATATTAAGTTAATATTTCATTTTTAAAATTTAATATTTTATAATCTTTCTAAATATATAATATTATATATTGTCCTTTATGTTTTAAGGAAATGACATTTATATAATTCAAATAAGTAATAACCTTTTGTTATTTAAATTAAATATATAAACACAAATTTAGTCCTAACGAATGCTTTAGTAATAAAATGAAGGACTAAAGAATATAGAGCTAATAAAATATTTTTAAGGATGTATATGTTACTAAAATATAAATTAGTTTTATATACCTCATTCAAATTATGTATTGAAAATGTTTATTTTGAAAAATAAAAGACTAAGATAATTGATAAATACTTTGATAGAAAAATAAACTTAGAAAAAAAATCAAGACTTAATAATACATTGATGATAGTTTAATTAAGCTACTAATATATTGGTCTGCTTATTATCAATTTAATAAATAATTTTTTATTATAAAAATATCTAAAAGTTATAGTTTAATATATTCCTTATATTTAAATAATTCAATTATTATTAAAATCATTTTTTTTTAGTATTTAAAATTAGTTTTAAGGAATATCAGTATGCTTTTGTTATTATTTTACGGAAAAAAAAATATTTATTTTTTGGATAATTTATTAATATACCGAAACATAAACTTCTTAATAAGATGCATTGTATAAATTGAATTTTACTAAATTTAAATATAGTTCCTAAAATTTAATTTAATTGGAAATTCCTAGTCGAAATATGATTAATAGATGATTTTGAATAAATATTTATTTAAATCCTAAAAATAAATTTAATAAAGTAATTATACAAATTGAGGAGTAAAAAACAGAAAACGCAGCTTTTTATACTAAGCATTATTAAAGCTTTTTTTATAAGAATTATGTTTATTATAATAAACAATTTAATTATGCCATTATATATAAAAAAAAAATACAATATATTTATAAATAAAAAAATATTGATTTTTTTATATAATTTAGTTTACTAATAATTTTATATTAATAAATTTATATATAAAAATATATAAATAATAATTAAATAAATTGTAATTATTTATAAAAAAATAAATATTTATATTATTTTCGAAAAAAATAGAAATTTATTATATATTATAAGTTTAAATATAAATAAATAAAAAATTATATTTTAATTTTAAAATTTGTTAAGTAAATACATTATAAAAATTAATTTTTAATTTTATTTTAAATCAAAACAAATAAATAATAATTATTATTTTGTTTTAATATAAATATCATTTTTTTAAAAAATAATAATAATAATAATATATTATTAAAATATAAATAAAAGAAAAAAGAAAGAAAGAGAAAGAAAGAAAAAATGACTGAAAAGATAATTGAAGACTTCAAAAATTTCGATTTCGATAAAGAACAAGATTATAAAAAATTCCTAACTGAATTAAACCCTCCACCACCCCTCTAAGCTATCGAATTTATAAAGCGTCAATGGTATAAGCAATACATAAACTAAAGTTTTAACCCTAATTTCGATGGTACAATCCCTGACTATATAACCAAAAATTAATCTAAAGAGTCTTGTTGTAATCACGAGCAAAATGAAAAACATCAGGAACACAATACTCCACATTAAAAGAAGCCTTCTAAAATAAAAATGATTGCGTATCATATAGAGAATTCATTTAAAGTAAGTTTTCTGACTAGTGTTTTTATGTTTAGAGGATTTGCTAATTATTTATCATTAGTAATATGTGTCTTGGCTATTATAAGGTAACTTTAATGGCCGAAATTTAATAAGATTTATATTATGAAATTGGTTTAGAATGATTTTTGTTAAAATTTAATGTATATGCTGCCTTTTGCTTTTTATAGAGAAAGTAGGAATATTTTATATTTTTTCCCTCTTATGGTTCATTATTGGATAGGAATATGTGAGTATATAAAAATTGTAGGAGGTAAAATTTATAATTAGTCATAAGTTTTGGTAGAAAAAACTAGAAGTAATAAATAAAATTTAATGAATCTTAAGTCTAATGCTGAAATTGCGCTTTTACCTATACTTTTTGTACTTATTTTTATAGGGTATAGTAATATATTCTTAGTTTTATTTTATTATAATTTCATTAAAATTAAATACATGATGAATGCTAATACTTAAAAAAGATTTGAAGTTATTAATAATAGTATAAAAAATAAATTGAAAAAAGAATCAGTCCCGAAATTCTTTTTAAAAGTTTATATGAAGATTGAATAGGTTATTGAATGGACAGTTAAATATGGAAGTTAAACATAATAAGATGATAATAAATAAAATATTGAAGAAAAAAAAGAAAAATGATTTTTTATAATCTAAAAAAAATATTAATAAAAAAATTTATAAATTTATAATAAATATATATATATATAAATATAAATATATAAAAATAAATATATTATGAATTTTAATTATTTTTTTTTAATCTTATTTTTATTTATTTTATTATTTCTTATTATAATTATTAATTTAATTTGTAATATATATTATTTTAATATTAAAAATTATATATATATTTTTTTATATATATTTAAAAAATAATTAAAAAAATTGTGACGATGGGAATCGAACCCACATGCATTTAATGCAATAAACCAATCATTTATCCCCTTGACCACTCGGGCACGCCACATCATATAGAAGATTAGAATATTTATTTTTTAGATTTTATAATACAAGTTTTTTTTATTTTAAAAATTATATATATATATATTTATATATAATTTATAATTAAATATCAAATAAATTTAGTAATCATATATATTTTTATAAATATATATATTTTTATTTAATCATAATATTTTAATGTCTTAATATTTATCATTATTATTTTATATTTAAATTATAAATTTATATAAATATTAATTTATTAAATATTTATTTTTAATTATATACATCATAAGTAATTATTTTTTTTATATTTTTATTTCATATTTAAAAATATATATATTCATAAAAGATTTATATATATTTTTTAATAAATAAAATAATATCAATTAAAAATTTTCATATTAATTTAATAAGTTTTATACATTTTTTTTTATTAATTTTAAATATAAAAGCTTACTTATGTATGTTTTCTAAATTTTTTTTTAATATTTTTATTTCTTCAATTTTATATACACATTAAAATAATAGCATCTCCAGAGTCTTATTACTAAATTATTAATTTTTTCAAAAAACAATAAAGAAAGCAAAAAATAAATTTTTAAAAACAATTTTTTATTTTAAATGAAAAAATAAATATAAATTATTTAATATTTATACAATTACAGAAAAAGTAATTTACTTTCAATATTATTTTGATTTTCTTTAAAAATTTAATATATAAAAGTAGTCTAATACCTCAAAATGATTTCTATTATAAATATATATTGTTATAATCCAATAAATAAATATCCTTTATTTCCAAAAGTTCAAATAGTTCAAATATAAACCAAAAAGCAATATTTTCTTCACCATGATATAATATTTAAGCTGTTATGAAGTTAAATTCATAAAAATACCATATATTGATATTATCTATTTTTTTTATATATATATTTATTTATAAGAAACCAATTTATATATGAGTAAAGGATAATACAAATATTTAATTTTTAAATTAATTATTTAATTATATATTTTATTCATTCAATGCAATTTGAAAATCTTTTTCATATTTTTTAATGTTTATTTTATTTAAATCACTTTTTAATTATTCTTATAAAAGTTTATTATAATTTTTTTTAATAAATGTATTAATATTTAATGTATTCGATATTTATTTTAGTCAATTTAAAGCAGTACTACAAGTTTTGTTTTCATATAAATTTAAATCGCATTATTATTTATACATGTTTTTTATTTATTTAGTATCTCTTATAATTGTATTTATATATGAAACTAAATGCTTTGTTTCTTATATATCTTTAAACCTTATTTCTATTTGCTTTTTTTTTACAAAATAAAACAGGAAATAAAAATACTTATTTTCAGAATTAGTCATGAAATTATTTTGGTATTTTACGTCTATTAAGTTCAAAATTAGGGTTTATTGGCTTTCTTAATAAAATTTCTGATTTATCAAATTTCTATTAATGTTTTTTTCATTATTCGGATTATTTATTTCTTTATAAAAATATCTATATATTTTAATAATATATTGATAGTTGATTATTAATATTTAACTTTCTTTTATACTTGAAACAATTATTAACTTTTTGTATTTTAGTAAGTCTTAATATATAGATATATATTTATTTTTTTAAGACATTTTTTTATCTTATTTGTTAATATATTATTTTTATTTATATATATATATTTTTTTTTAATTATAATTTTTAGTTTTATAATATTGTTAAAAAATTAATAAAATGTATTTAAAACTTTTATATTTTATATATAAATTTTAAAATTGAAATTAATAATTTGTTAATAAAAATATCATAAATACATATTTATATTTATAAAAAATGTAAAACAATATATCAGTCCAAAACTCAGCACATAAAAACTAACTATGTGAAAAAACAGGAAAAGAATAAAGATATCCATATATAATTTCTGATAATTAAAAAAAATATTAAGGAGAAGTATTAAACGGTAAAAAAGATGGATATGGCATAGAAGAAGATAATTAAAGTTACAATTTTTTTTATTTTAATTTTTATTAAAAATATATTTTTTTTATCTTAAAAAAAAATAAGAAAAAACTGTTTATGAAGGTGAATTTAAAGAAGATATGTATCATGGATAAGGAATTTTATACTAAGAGAATAATTGTTGCTTTTTTAAAGGTATGTTCGAAAATAACGAGAAAAAAGCTGGAATTGAAATATTACCTAATGGAGATTAATATGAAGGTGAATATTAAAATAAAAAATATCATGGGAAAGGTTTTTTACATAATTCTTCTATGTCTTATAGATATGAAGGTATTTTATATTAAAATTATATATTATTAATTTAAATTTTCTTTTTAATAAAAGGGGATTTTTAAAATGGATAAAGACATGGTTTTGGAAAAGAATTTTATAAAAATTAATCTTATTATGTAGGAGAATTTCTAAATAATTAAAAACATGGAAAAGGACGTTTATAATATAAAGATGGCTCTTATTATTAGGGTGATTTTGTTAACGGTAAATATATATTTAAAATAATTTTAAAATGAATATTCTTATTTATATGTATTTTTTAAAAAAATCTAAGTAAAAAAAAAAATTTATATTAAATAAATTATAAACTTAATATATAATATTTAGTTATATAATAAAAAAATTAAAAAAAATAAAAATAAAAATAAAAATAAAATATATTTATATTTATATTTATATTTATTTATTTATTTTAAATAAGGTATGTAATGTGGTTTTGGTATTCATGTAACAAATAATCGTGAATAGTTAAAAATTTTAAAATTTTAAGAATATTCTGAATATTATAATTAAAATTTAATATTAGAAAAAGAAGATGTAGAAGAAGAGGATAAACCTGAGTATTTTTACGAAGGAGAATTCGTTTAAGGCTTTAAACACGGAATAGGTAGATTTTATGATGATACTTGTTCTTATTTTTATTGCAAATGGCGATTTAATAAAAAAGTTGGGAAAATTTTATATTATAATAGTACAGAACATTCTTATTCTTTATTTTTTTATAAGGATGATTTATAAGATATTGATCATTTTATATCTCCTTTTGACAATCCTAAATAACTCGAGAATATTGTTTTTGAAATCAAATAAATGCCCGGTTTTCCTCCTTATTATATAGATGCTTATAAATCATTAATTGATGAATGTGGGATAAAAGGAAAAAGACTAGAAGATATTGATTTTGCCTAAAATTAGGAATATTTATATGAAAATTAAATTTTAGTGAGGATTTCGCAACATCCTAAATTGAAAGAAATGAATGATCTCTTTATTAGTGAAAAAATAGAAATAGGATAGATAATTTTCAATAATTTAAGTGATTATTAGTTGGTGGGAATACTAGATTGCCTGTGTTTATACCCACATTTATATTTTAAAGTTTTCCATAGTAAATTTGATTTGGAGAATATAGGTTTTTTTTCAATCAAAATGTATATAGAAGGTGAATGGAAGGAAATTATTTTAGATGAATTTTTACCCTGTTTAAATAATGAAGACAAAAGCCTTGTTTTTTCAAGCTCTGAGTAATTTGATATTGGATGGATGCTTTTATAAAAGGCTTTTGCAAAAATTTTCGGGTCTTATAAATATTTTAAAGAAATGAATAAAAAAGTAAGATGGCTGAATTTTATTTCTAATGTCTAACATCTTTACCTTCAAAACATATAGAATGGTAAAGTGCTAATTCTTAAGGTGAAATTGAAGACGTTCTTGAAATATTAATTGAGCAATTTTAGAAAGAATAATAGTCTGCAAAAGTTGCTTATTTAAAAAATAATTTTAAAATGAATGATTTATTGATATATCCAAATTATCCTTATACAATTTGTGAGTTTGTTTAAAGTGAAGAAGGGAATTTTGTTATTTTAAAATGTTTATAGGAATAATATGTAGGAATTTCAAATTCGTATAAGGATCTTTTTGTGAAAGAAGTTGAAGATGCATTAAAAAAGTATTAAGGAGTATAATTTGTATTTGTAGTTTCTTTAGAACAGTTTGTAGTGTTATTTGGAGATATATATATTTTGGTGGGGATAAATACGAATTTATAGAATTCTATTGATATATATGATGAAATTCCGGATATTTAAAATAATGATTATAAATATTATATTTAGTTTGCTATAAATCTACCTACTAGGGTTTTTTTAAATGTTGAGTAGAATATTTTAAAGGAGTAAAATAATGATTTTGTTTCTTAAATTTACCCATGTAGAATTGTTTTGGGATAATTAAAGGAAAATATGGCAAAAAATAAAAGGGACTTTTTAGCTAGGAAATTCGTGGATAAAACAAAGGACGAAATATTAGTTAATTGTCATACAAAATAATAAGGTAGTAAAATTTAAAGTAATAAGTGTATAAATGTTTTCTAAGATAATAAATAAAACTTTTTATTGCCTCCAGTATAAATATAATAATAATAATATTAATAAGATAATTAAATTATTAATTAATAATCTGGTAGTGATTCTAAATTTTAATAAAAAATATAAAAAAAAAATGAGTAAATTTAAAATTTTGAATATAATTAAAAGTATTAATTTACTTTTTAGTTTATATTTATAAGTATATGATATGATTATTAATCTTTTCTTTTTTTTTTTCTAATTATATATATAGTTAATAGTAAAAAGAACAATAAAGTGATAAAAAGAAAAAGAAATTAGTTTAATATAAATATATCTTTGGAAAAGGATAAATAAAAAATAAAAATACATTCAAAACAATAAAACTAGATGCAGGTTTAACTTTTTTTATTTAAAATTAACATAAATAAAAAATAAAAAAAAGGTGAATATAGATTATTAATATAATTAGAAGGACCTGATTCTAGAGATTTAAAAGGTAAAAAATTACTATTGAAAATGAACGTGAATATATTTAGTGATAGTTTAATTTAATTAACTAGAATATAAGAACCGGATAACTTTTAATACTAAATATATTATGACTGTATATTATAAGCCGAAAATGATAGTAAATAAAAAGATTCGAATCAATGTCCTTTCTAAAAAACGGATTTAAGTGAAAGAGATAATGGAGATTAAGAAATTACTATTTCGTAGTTTTATTTAAAAAAAGAAGGAACTTATTTATAACTTTTATCAAATAAATCTAATGATAGAAGTTGGAGGTAAAAAATTTACTTTAGAAATGAAAATATGAAGATAGTTGATTAATAAGATGATAATAAAGTATTTAAATATTATATTTATATTTATATATTTAATATTTAAAAAAAAAAATATTTAAAGGTTGATTTACATTTACTCCCTTAAAATGAAAATCTTATTATTGTTTAGTAAATTAAAGCACTTCCTTATACTTTAGAAGGAGGTGAGGGAATTTGTATTATTGAAAAAATCGGGAATTAATAAAATGTATAAAAAAATAGAGATGAAAATGAAGATATTAATTTAAATAAATGAAAATATTTATTTTATATTTTGTTTTTAATAATATATATTATAGATTTTATTTTATTAAAAATATTTTTATTTATTAGATAAAATAAGATTTGTAAAATAATAATAATTTGTTTTGTTATATTTATCATATTATAAATAAAAAATAAAATAGATTAGTAAGCCTTTTATATATATATATAAATAGAAAAAAAATATATATAATATATGGATAAATTTTATAATATTTTTGAAAAGTTAAATTAATAACTTGATATAAATAAAAATTTACATTTTATTTTAAGTACATCTGCAGGTGCTTTATTTATTTATATTAATTATAACAGGAAAAAATAAAATTCTGAACATGAATAATAAATAATAAATAAATAAAATATTGTTGAGAAAAACAATTTTTTATAAAATAATAATTAAATTAAGTTAGAATCTTTAGGTTTACAAGACATATAATAATTTAAATAATAAGAAATTGAGTAAAAAAGCAATTTTTAATTTTATAAAGAATAAAACTTTTCGCATAAAAAAGAAGTTAAAAATGAAAAATAAAAAGTTAAATAATTAAATAAATCTTTTTCTACTGATGCTGAAAATTAAGAAATGAAAATTTAAAAGTTATAACAAATGATTATTAAAGAAAAAAGAATGAAAGATAAAATTTTCTTTTAAATGATTTATAATATTGCTATTGAAGTAGAAGATAATAATTGATATTTTTTTTGTTTTTTTGTTTTTTTTTAAAAAAAAAGTAATTAATATTATTATTATAATATATTATAAAATTAATTTATTTATTAGAATAAAAATTTACTTAAATTTTTTGTTCTTTTTTAAAAGATTATTAAATACTTCAATTTTATATTTAATAGATTTTTTTTAATTTAAATTAGGTAATTAATTAATTTTGTACTTTTTTTATATTTTTTTTTAAATTTAATTAATTATATTTAATTTTTTTAAAAAAAGAAAATAAAAAATATAGGTTTGAAAAGTTATTTAACTCCTAATAATTTTTTTTATTTTTTTGAAGTTTTTATATGAAAATATAAGTTTAAAAATATATAAAATATAAATAATTTTAATATCTAAATATATATCAAAAGTAATATTTATTTAATAATTAAAATAGTAAACATTTGTATAATAAATTATTTATATTTTGTTTTTAATTTTAATATATTTATTTTTGAATTATATCATAAATATGATATTTTAATATTGATCAAAATTAAATAAACTTTTTAAAAATTCTAAATTAATAAATTTAAAAAAATACAAATAATATTTTTAAATAATTAAATTATATATTTTCCATTAAATTTATATTATTTTTTTTTTATTAAAAAATAAAATTATATATAAATAAAAAATATGGAATAAATCAATTAACAAGAAGAATAATAAAAGAATTAAATATCAATTCTTAATTTTAATTAAGAAAGTATATAAGAGCCTATATTAAATTCTCCTAGATCATTAAAAGCATGTTAATAAGAAGGAATAAAACCAATTGATTTAATAAAAAAAACTAAAGAAGATATATTTAATTTATTTAAAGGGAAAGCTAAAATCTTTAAAGATACAATAGATTAATTTTAATAAAAATTAGAACAAAAAAGAAAATAAAAAATATAATTAATAATTGAAAAAAGATAATTTATAATCGAATAATAATAAAAAAAATCATAAATGTTATAATTTTCAAAACAAGAAATTCTAATAAAAAAAATTTATAATAATAATTCATTTTATGTAAAAAATTTATTTTTAACTTTTTTTTTTAAAAAATAAATAAATAAATAAATTATTTTTTATATTTTTTTTTGAAGACTACTGGACATAAAAATTGGAGAAATTTAAGTGAATTAAAATAAGATTTTAATTAAAAAAGTAATTCTTCCTTTAATCATACTTTAAGTGATTTTAATGGAAATAATAATAGTATGATATAATAATATATATAAAAAATAAAAAAAAAAGTGATAAAATTATAGAAAAAGTCAAAAATAAATAAGTTAATTTTTTTTTTTTTAAAAATAAAATCAAATAATTTTTATTTTTTATTTAACAAAAAATTAAGTTTAAGGATATATAAAATATTATAGAAAGAGAAATATCAATAAGAAATAATTAAATAATTGATCAATAAAAAGAAGAAAAAATCAAAAAAATATAGAATATTAAAAAGAAAACTACAAATAAGGAAATAACAGGAAGAAGAAAATACTAAAAAAAGAAATTTTAAGACATGAGAAAATGGAATAGGAGCATATTGTTTTATAATAAAAATTGATTTAAAAAGAACAAGAAGAAATCGCTAGGATGATAAAAGAAAAAGAAAAGGAAAGATAAAGAAAAGAATTAAAAAAAAATGAAGAAGAAAATAATGCACATCATTTCTAGACTTTAAAATATATATAAGAATAAGAAGAAATAAATAATTAAAAAATATAAGAGAAATAATAAAAACATAAATAAAAAATAGAAAAAATAAGATAAATATAAGAAATTAATTAGTAGGAAATAAAAAGAAGAGCCGAACTAAAAACTAGAGAATAAGATTTAAGATTTTAAAAAATTTAAAGTATCCAAAACGAAGAATTAGAAAAAAAAATAACGTAAGTTTTTAATATATTATTTTATATATTCCACTTCAATTGTTTGAAATGACCACCCAACAAAAAAACTTAAATTAATTAAATAAAATATGTCCATATCAATATTTTTTTTTATATATAGATTTAAAAAGGCATAAAAATAAAATATCTTTAAACAAAAATGCCTTATTACTTAAAAAATATAAAATATTTTTTTATTTATACATTTGTATTTATATAAAATATTTTTTATGTATTTTTATATATATTTTTTAGATTTTTTTTCTTTTTATATATATATTTTTATGTATTTAATTTTTAGATTATGTTATAAAAATAATTTAAAAGTGGATTGATTATTTAAGAAATTTAATAAAAATAAGACAAATAAATTTTTTAAATGTAAATCTAAAAAATGAAAAAATTTGAAACTATTTAAAAATATAGTGTAAATATTTTAATAAAAAAAATAAAAAATAAAAAATTAAGGAATAAAATATATTAGAATAAGAAATTAATAATTAATAAATTTTATAAAAATATATAGCTTTTTAATAAAAATATGAAGAAAAATAAAAATATAAATAAAAAGAAATATAAGAAAAAAGCAATTTTAATAGAGAAAAAGAAAATAAAATAAAATAATAAAAAGAAAAAGAAATAGAAAATTATTAATAAAGAATGAATACATAATATAGTTAAAAAAAAATGAAGTCTGAGTTTTATAATTAAAATAAAGAAATTAAAAATAATTAAAGAATTATTAATAAATAAGCATAATCTATGCTATAAAAATTTATTGTAGATGAAAATTTAAATTAAATAGATTTAAAATATAACTATAAAAAAGAAGAATTAATAAATAGATTAAAAAAGCATGAATAAAGAATCATAAATATATAGTTTTATTATTTTTATATATAAATAAATTTTTTTATTTTTTTTATAAATATAAAATAATTAAATTAAAGAAAAGTAAAAGAACTTATTCAATCAAAATAAAATGAAATAGAAAGAAATACAGAAAAACATAAAACAAATTTATAAAAATAAATTGAATAGTGTTTTAATAATAATAATTAAAATTAAAATATATAAAATCTAATAAAATATTATGGTTTAAATAAAGGTAATCTTATATTAAATAAAAATAAAATATTAATATATTAAATATATAAAATATAGATTAAAGAATATGTTTTAAATATGATTAGTTTAATAATAAATATATAATTAATAATAATAATAGTAATAATAATAGTAATAATAATAGTAATAGTAATAATATATAAGATAGTCATAATTTAATTTAATTTTAATATGATAATAATAAAAAATTTAAAACTATTAATAATCTTTAAACTCGTTAAATTGCTTTTCTTACAGATGTAAATTAAAAATCATAAATAGAAACTTAATAAATAAATGCATGATATTTTTATTAATATAAAATATTTATCAAAATTAATATTTATTTTTTTTCTAATTTATTTAATTATTATTTATATTTAATATAAACGAATAATAAATAAACAAAAAATATTAAAATTTATTTTATAAAAAAAAATATCAAAAAAATTATAAAAATAAAAAAGATTTTTATTTAATATAAAATATTTTTTTTTTTTTTTTTTAACATTATTTATATTTTTATTTTTTATTAAATAAGAATTAAATTTTTATATTTTATTTTTTATTTAATCAAATTCATATTTATTTTTATTAATATTCTTTTTTAATTTCTCTAACAATTTCATTTTCTATATTGTCTTATTCCATATTATAATTAGTTTCAACACATTTACATATATTTAATTATTTACATTTTAAATTTTTGCAATCAAATGGATTTCCTTAACAACATAAACATACTCCATTTTCATCTTAATCATAATATTAACCATCGTCTTCATCTTCTTCTTCATCTTGATTTTTTTTTTATAGTTATTATTAAGATTATAGTTATTATTATTCTATCATTTTTTATTGTATTTACATTAATTTTTTTGGATTACATATAATACAATTTTCAAAACCTAAAATATGATTTCCTTAGATTAGATAATCTAGGCAATATTATTATTATTATTATTAATCTTCCATGTATTTTTATATTTTATTTATGTAATATTTACTTTTTTTATAAAATTTTCAAATAATAATATATGATTTTTATATATAAATATATATATTTATTTATTTTTGTTAACTTTTTTTATATGTAAAATATTATAATTTTTCATATTATTTATATTTTTTAAAAAAATGCCATTATATATTATATATAAAAATATTTTTATATATTATATTTATATATATATATATTTATATATTAATAAAAATTTTTTTCTAATATAAATATTTGTTTAATAATAATAAGTATAAAAATATTTATATATTTTTTTTTTTTAAAAAAAAATATAACCAAAAAGAAAAATTAAAATATATTATAAATAATATATTTAAAAATTTAATATTTTGACACAGAAATAAATTATTTCATTTTTTTAAATAAAAGGATATAAATTATTAAAAAAAAAAAAAAATAAAAAAAAAAAAAAATTAAAAATAATGAATCACGAAGACGATAATGATAACATTCCAGAATATAATGACGACTCAGATGATGAACTTAACAATAAAGCTTATAATATTCAAAAACCTGAGTAAAAAAAAATATATATAGATGAAATAAATCTAAAATTTAATTTCTTAAAAGCTAAATGGTTGCTAACCATTCTTCATTTAATGACTTTAATTTGAAAGAAGATTTGCTAAGAAGTGTAAAAGAAGCTGGTTTTGAAAGACCATCTGAAGGTAATATTTTTATTTATAATTATATTAAAATATTTATTAAATTATATTTTTATATATAAATTAGTTCAATATAATTGTATCCCGAATGCGTAATATTTTATTAATATTATTTTTATTAACAAATCTATATGATTTATATTATATATTTTAATAAATGTTTGTAAAAATAAAAATTATTATATTAAAACAGAATTCATGGAACAGATATATTATGTTAAGCAAAAGCCGGTACAGGAAAAACAGCAGTTTTTGTATTGTCAATTTTGAATTAATTATCAGATGATACTCCTCCCTATAGTTGTTTAGTATTATGTCATACACGAGAATTAGCTTTTTAAATAAAAAACGAATTCAAACGCTTAGGTAAATATACAAATTTCAAGACAAGAGCTATATTTGGAGGAGTAGATGAACAAGATGATATAGCAATTTTAAAGTAAAAAAAACCACAAATTCTAGTTGCTACACCAGGCAGATGCTTATCTTTGATGAATATGAGAAATTCAGTTATAGAAATTAAAAATGTAAAATATTTTGTAGTTGATGAATGTGATAGAGTAATGGAAAGTATTAAAATGAGGTAAATAAAATAAATATATATATAAGTATATAAAAATAAAATGATATAAAAATATTTAAATATATATATATATATATATATATATATTTATTTATCATTTTTTAACTAATTTTTTTTTTTAGATCTGACGTTTAAGAGATTTTTATGAAATTACCTTTATAAAAATAAGTTATGATGTTTAGTGGAACTATTGCTAATGATAGTAAGAAAATCTGTAGAAAATTTATGAAAGATGTTATTACTATTATTATAATTTATATTATAAATCATTTTTTTTATAGTAATTAGAAATATTTATTGAAGATAATTCTAAATTAGTATTACATGGTTTAGAATAGTATCATTTAAAATTAGAAGAAAAGTAAAAAATTCCAATTTTAATTTAATTCTTGACTTAATTATCATTCAATTAAGTTATTATTTTTGTAAATAAAGTGGAAAGAGCTATGTATCTTTCCAAATATTTGCAAGATGATAAAAAGCTAGAAAATTCAGTTATTTATAGAACTTTACCTTAAGAATAAAGGTATATAATATATATATATATATATATATATATATATATATATATATTATATTTATATATATAAATTTATATATTTATATTTATTTTCTTTTCAAAATAATTAGAACTAAAGTTTATTAAGAATTTAAAGAAGGGAAAAAAAGAATTTTAGTTGCTACTGATTTATTTGGTAGAGGTATTGATATTGAAAGAGTCAATTTAGTTATTAATTTCGATATGCCTGAAAAATAAGATGATTATATGCATAGAGTTGGTAGAGCTGGTAGATTTGAAACTAAAGGAACTGCTATTTCTTTTGTTTCTACTAAAGAAAATGAATAAGTTTTGAAAGATATTTAGGATAACTTCTCAACTAAAATAAGTGAATATAATTTATCGAATATTTCAAGGTATTTTAATTTTTTTAATTTATTATATTTATATAATTTTTTGTTAAAGTTGATTTTTTTATAAGATTTATAAGATGAATTATTAAAAAGAAATTTTATATATTATTATTTTTATTTTTATGAAAAAATTTATATATTTTTTATTTTTCATATATTAATTTTTTAAATAAAAACTACTAAAAAAATAAAAAAAAAATATTCATTTTATTTATAAAAATAAAGATATAATATTTTTTATTTTTTTAGTTGTTATATTAATAAAAAAGTTATCATATTATATTTTTAATTAATAATTTAAATATTAAATGAGAAATAAATAATAATAATATAATATTTTTGTCAAAAATTAATAAATAAAATAAAAGTACTCCAAAGAAATTAGTAATTATAAAAAACAAAAAATGGTTTCAATTAAAAAATTACTTTTTTATAATAATAAAAAATAAAAAAAAACTAGGTAAATATTTTTTTAAAAAAAGAAATCAATAATACCATAAAAACTAAACCACAAATATTTTTTTAATAATTCGTAAAATATAAAATAAATGGGAAATTGTAAATGTGTATGTGATCCGAATAAAGATAAAATCGAGCAAGAATATATAACAATCTAAAACGTAAAAGAAGCATTAACAAATCCAAAAGAAAGTGAAGCATAAATAAAAAACAAAACAAACAATAATAATACATATCAAAACAATAATTCAGTTAATGATAATCAAACATAAAAAAATAAGGATAAACAAGAATAAAAATATGATTAATACGATTCTCCAAAAGCCGAATTTTAAAAAACTTAAAATTAATAATAGACAGGTAAATAAATAAAAATTATATATATGTGAAAAAAAAAAATTATAAATATATATATAAATAGTAAGCGGGTAATTAAAAAGATGCATTCATGAGGATAATTAACCAGTAGACGAAGAAGTAGAATTTGTATAAAATACATTAGGCTAAAACAAAATATTTAAATTATAAATAATTCATATGAAAAACGGTGGTTAGTATGAAGGTGAATGGAAAAACGGGATGAGAGAAGGTAAAGGTAAACATATATGGCCTGACGGTAGTTTTTATAATGGAGAATGGAAAGAAGATAAAGCCCATGGGTATGGAAAACTAATTCATGTAGATGGTGATATATATCAAGGATAATGGGAAAATGATATGGCGAATGGAGAAGGGACTTATTTACATAGTGGAGGGGCTCAATATTAAGGACAATGGAAAAATGACCTTTAAAATGGATACGGGGTTGAGACTTGGCCAGATAATGCAAAATATGAAGGGAATTATTCGAATGGGAAAAAAAATGGTAAAGGGACTTTGTATTTTGCAGATAAAAGTAAGCATGTAGGGGATTTCTTAGATAATGAAATTTCAGGATATGGAGAATATTATTGGTAGGATGGAAAAATTTATAAAGGATATTGGAAGAATAATAAAATGAATGGGAAGTAATAATTTTTTTCTTTTTATCTTTTTATTTGGCTTTTTATAGAGGTGAAACTATTTGGGTAGATAAAAAAAGATATTTAGGGGATTATTTAGATGACAAAAAACATGGATTTGGGATTTTCGAATGGGGAAACGGAAAAAAATATGAGGGCGAATGGAGAAATGGGAAATAACATGGGAGAGGTTATTTTATTTATTTTTAATTTTTTTATTATTTAAAGGATGTATTATATTATAAGGAGGTGAAAAAAAAGAAGGAATATGGGAAGATGGGAAAAGAATTAAATGGATTATTGATGAATGAATATATATAAAAGACTATAATTTATGCTTTTGTTTTATTATTTTATTAAAAAAATATAAAATTGATATATATATTTTATATTTGTAATATATTTTTATTCAATTAACTTATTAGTTTTTATTTTTATATTTTCTTTTAAATTTAAATATATGTACATATATATATATATATATATTAATTAAAAATGATTTATTATATTACAATTATATTAATACTTATTTTAATATTTTTAAATAATAGACAAAATTTATAAATTTATTTTAAGTATACTTAATTTATTATTATTATAAATAATTAATAAACATTCATATTTATTTATAAATATAATTAAATTTTTATTAAATTTTTCTATAATATGTAGGTATATAGATTCCTAATTTAAATTTTCCACAAAATTAACTTCAATCAAATCATCCACGATTTCTTTTTATAAAATAAATAATTAGATTTTTATCCACAAACTTTATAATTATTATATTGAAAGTTTCCCCGTAAGGAAAAAGCAATACATACTCTAAAATAATAGGATTAATTTTAAATAATCATAATTTTACATACCATCAAAAGATTTTGTAACAGCATATGCAGCAGAATTGCTTTTATATTTAGCTGCATATGTATAAGTTTTGCATTGCACTTTTATTCTAAAGTATTTTGATGTAGTTAAACTTCATCATTAGGCCCAATTAATAGTTGATCAGAATTTTTTGTAATATATTCTATACTTGAATTTTTATATGCAAATTTTGAATTCTAATAAGAAGAAAAGATTAGATACTATAAAAACTTTATTTTTCTTTTATATATACCAAACCACAGATTGGATTATTTTCTACAAGTAAAATCGATATTTTAATTGCTTAAAATAAATAAATATGGTAAATAATATTAAGCACAAACTTACTTAATTTATTATTTATAAACTCCAATAGTAAGATAAGTCAAACATTTTATTCACATATATATTAGGTCTATTTACCAAATAAGAAAAAAACTAATAGCTCTATATTCTAAAATGCAAATTTTATTTCCATATAAATATAAATCAGATAATTAGTCATTTTTATAATTATTATAAATCTTCTTTTACATAAAAAAAATTAGGGATAATATATAAAATCTTAAAGGCTTAATATTTATTTATATAAATATTTTTGACTAAAACAAAGACTAAATTGTATATTAAAGCATAAAAAATGTTTTAGATTAAATAACTCAAGAGAATAATAGGATGTTAATAGTTTTGGAAGGTTAATAAAATTTATAGGAAAATTAGTATTTAATATAAAATTTCATGTTTTAAAAATTTATAAAAAATTAAAAAATGATATATTTGTTACCTTTTATTTTATAAATAATTATTATTTTATCTATTTTTTATATTTGGTGTAATTTTTAACTTTGATTTAATTTTATTTATTATTTTTATATAAAAATAAGTAGTAATCAAATAATTTTGATTTATGAATATATTTTTATTTTCTTTTTTTATATATTTTGAAAAATAAAAAATAGTAAAAAAATAAAAATAAAAATATGATAAGAATATTAATAATAATTTAAAATAATATATATTTTTTTTTTAAAAATAAAAAATATATTAAGATATATTAAATAATAAATAATATAATTATTATAAATTAATAAACATAATAATAATATATAATTGATGTTTTTATATAAAAACAAAATTATATTTTATTTTATAATATAATATGTATTAACATTTAATAATTTTATATATAATAATTATATATATTAATAAAAATTTTAATAATCTTTCTATAAATTAAATAATAAAATAAATAAAAAAATAATAATTTAATTTATTATAAATATGAAAAGAAATTTATTAATATTAAAAATATATATATATATATATATTTATAAAAATAAATTAATATTTATATTAAAAAATCTAAATATTTTTTATTTTATATAATATTTATTAAATTTTATTTAAATATTAAGATATTTATTAAATATATATAATTATAAACTAATTAGTTAATTATTTTTATTAATTAATTATTTTTTTTTTTTTATATTAAATTTGTACTTTATTATTATTTTAATTAAAAAATTAATTATATTATATTAATATAAAATTATATCAAAATATATATTAAATTATAAATATTTTATATACATATATTTTTTTTTTAAATTAATTTCAACACATTAATATTATTTTATTATTAATTTTATCTATAATAATATAAAATATTTTTAAAATATATTAAAAAATATTTAATTTCTTTTATAAAAAAATTAATAATCAATAAAATTTAATAAAAATGTCTGCTGATCATTTTGGATTTGGCTTATTTTTTACTTGTTTGATTCTTTTCATATAATAAATAATATCTAGTTATTTAAGTTATAAAAATACCGATATTTTCACGAAAACAGTACTGCAATATTATTTGGAATAACCCTGTCTGCATTAGCTTATTTTTTTTTAACTATAAAATATCTCTTGAAAAAAATATATTTATATATGGTTTTTTACCAGTAATAGTATTTGCTGAAGGATATACTTTAAAAAAGAGACATTTTTTTAAAAGTTTTATATAAATATTAATATTTGGATTTTTAGGTACTATAATAACATTTATTACAATTGATTTTTTAACAAATTAAATAAATAGTAAAAATATGATAAAAGTAGAATTTATATAGTAATATAAATAAATAAATTAATAATAAAAAAAATGATATATATAAATATTTATATATATATATATATGTATATATTTATTTATATATATTTATATATATTATAGTAAATCTAAAAATTCTATAATAGATATAAATAAAGGAGATACTATTAATCTTAGTTTTAAAAACATTTTATTGTTTTCAGCAGCTTTGTGTTCAAAAGATAGCTTTATGGCTTCAACTATGGTAAATCATCATACTTTTCCTTCTATATTTAGTGTTATTTTCGGAGAAGGAATTATAAATGATGCATCCACTTTAATTCTCTTCGATAGTGTAGAAAAATTATTAGATTAGTAAGATGATTCTCCAAATCAGAATGTTGGATTATATTTATTAAAAAACATGGTTATAAGCTTTATTGTCAGGTAAAATATATTTTATAAATAATTATTTATTTAAATAAAATCTTATTCAATAAAATAATAGTATTTTATATATTTCTTTATAATTTTTTATTATATTTTATAAAGATTTTTAATAAAAATATTTCCTAAAAATAAAAATAAATTATAAAAAAAAAAAATATTTAATCATAAATGTATATAAATAATATATATATATATATATATATATATATATATATTTATATAAATATAGTATTTTATCTGGCTTTTTTTTTGGATTACTATGTACATTAAGTTTAAAATGGTTTGATTTTTAAAATATACAGTAGTAAATTAAGCTATAATAGTTTTCATATGTAGTTATTGCTCATATACCTTTGTAGAGTCATTACATTATTCAGGTGTGATATCTTTACTTTTTTGTGGTTTAATTTCTGGCCATTATGCATTTTATAATTTATCTGAAAAAGCTTAATTAACTTCTAATGCTATTTTTTTAACCATTTCAAGTGCATCTGAGAGCTTTCTTTTTATTTATTTAGGTTTTACTGTTTTTTCTTATTACGAAGATAAGGCTTGGAGTTTTAGCTTTATTGGATTTATTTTCCTCTTTATATTGTTAGGTAGGTTTATTTCAGTTTTTGTGATTTCTATTATTTTAAGTCTAATTTTTAATAAAGGGAAATTTAAATATAATTTAAAAGAATTAACAGTTATTTAAATTACAGGGATGAGCAGGGGAATATTAGGATATATTTTAAGTCAATAAATTACAAATGGACTTGAGTTTGATGATGATAAAGATTTTTAAGCGGATGCTATATTAGATAATACGATGCTTGCAATAGTTATTTTAACCACATTATTTTTTGGATTTACAGGACCAATTTTCATAGACTTGCTTTTAGGAAAAGGACATCATGATCATGAAGGAGGAGATTCTCATTAAAAATAGAAAAAAATATAAGAAGAAAACGAATAAAACGAATAAAATGCTGATTTAAACGGATAATTGCTAAATGATTAATCTCGTTAATAAAATAGTAAATAAAGATTTGTTTCTTTTATTAAGAAAATTAATAGTAATTATGTTAAACCTTTACTTATTAAAGATTACAAAACAAATTACGAAAGAATTAAAATTGCAAAAGAACTTTTTAAAGAAGATAAATACGAAATAATGAGACCTGAAGGGTTAGCTTAAATTAATAATTATTGGAAAATACTGTTAATGTATTGTAAAATCATATACGAAATTCTAATGAGTAAAATATGTTCAATTTTTTAAAAAATAACGAAGAATAGGACAATAAGATAGATTTAGATATAAACGAAAAAGATATAATGTAAAGAAATTAAATAATGAATGAAATTAAAAGAAATAGTTTAAATAGAAGTTTAAATAGGAATGATGAAGAATAAAATATAATTTAATCTAATAAGTTTAATAAATTAGATAATAATGGAAATAGAACTATTTGAAAATAAATATATATAAATATATAAATATTATATATATATATATATATATATATTTATATAATTATATTTTTTTTTATTTTTTATTTTTCAAAAAATTTATTCCTAATATAATTTAGTTATTATATCTATTATGTCTTTTTATTTATATTTAAATTCAATATTATTATTTAAAATTTTATCAAAATTACTTTTTTATTTTTAAATTAGTTATTTATTTCTAATAATTATATTTTCGATTTTTTAATTATTTACTTATTATTATTTTTTTAATATTTCCATAATTTTTTATTTATTCTAATTTATAATTTATTCCACTTATTATTATTTATATTTTTACATACTTTCATATAAATTTTATAATTCCTATATTTTTGTTTTATTAATATTATAATTTTTTTCTTTTTATATTTATTAAGTTTTTATTTATATTTTATTAATTTCTTTTTATATATTTTCTTTTTTTTATTATATTCTTCAAGTTTTTTACTTATATCTTAATTATATTAGTTTATTTTATTTTATATTTATTGTTCTTCATTATATGCTTCCTATAATTAATTTTTTAATTTTTCCTTTATTTATTATATATTATTAGTCTAACTAAGCAATTCTTCTTCAAATTATTTTGTTACATATTACTATTACTATTAAAAATATATTTTTCTAAAGAATATTATTTAATATAAAAATTTGATTAATATTTTATATATTTATATTTTTATAAATTTTTTTTTTATTTATTATATCAATAATATAAATAATATGAAAAAGTTTTAAAATACTAAAACAATATTTTTTAATTAATTACTTTATAATTTTCATAATCTTATTTTAGTTTTAGATTTTTATCCTATATTTTTTAAATATCTATTTAAATTATATTATCTTTAAGAATATATTCATTTTAAAAATTTTCTTTTAAGTTTAATTTTATTAAAGCTTCAATTTTATTTTAAAAATCGAGTATTTATTTATCATTTTATAATTATGAAAAAATTTCATATCTTTCTTTTTTAATTTAATTAAGATTTTCTTCTAATTAATCTTTATTATGAATAATTTCTTAAAGTATATTTTAATTTTCCTCATTATTATTGATCTTTCTTTTATAAAAATTCTTTATTTTCTCTTCCATATCTAATTTATTATTAGCTTATTCTAACATTTTTCTTAATTTTAAATTTTTTTGTTCTTCTTATTGTGTTTTTTCTTTTAAATTTTTTATTAATTCTTCGTTTTTTTTATCAATTTCTTTTTATTTTTATATCATTTCATCAATTTCTATTTTATATTTGACACAAGTTTAATTTATGTTATCACTTTATGACTCTAAATCCTATATATATATAAATATATATATATATATATATATATATATATATATATATATATTATTTTTTAAAAAAACATATTATATAAAAGTACAAATTATTATTTTAATTCATAATTTTAGTTTTCAGATTCTAAAGTTTCCTTCATTTTATTTATATTAGATTATTATATTTATATAAATTCTTGTAAATTATAAACTTCCACTTGCCTTTTTATTTTCTATGCAGCTTATTTAATTATTAAATCTTTTAATTTTGATTTTTCTAGGGGCTTTTTTATAGGATCTTCAATTATTTTATATCTCAAATTATGCTGCTTATATAAAATATTATTAGATGAAAATTGTTAAAATAATGTTTTTTATTATTAAAAAATAGTATTATTTTAAAAAACAATAGAAGATCTTTATTGCTTATTTAAAGTTTTATTTGCATTTTCATTTTATATTAAAGTTTATAGTGTAGAAGTTGATTTATTTTCACTATTTTATATTTAATTTTATATAATTAATAAGCATAAATTTTAATAAAAAAAACATTTAAATTGAACTATTAAAAGACGTATTTAAAGATTGTTTTAAACTTTTAAACTTGGAGAAATTGGTATAATTATTTATTAGAATATTTAACTTTATTTCATTTATATTAAAATATAAATAGATGTTAATTTTAATTATATTTATTATTAAAATTAACAGAAATAATAAAAAATAAATAATTTATTTATATATATATATATATATATATTATATTCATTATTTTTAAATTTTTATATATATTATTTTAATTATTTTTATTAATATAATTTCAGTTCTTTTGTTCCATATTAACTAATATAATAATCTAATTAATATATTACAAATCATTTATATCAGGAAATAATTATTTATATTATATTTATAAATCTTAAGAATTTAGACTTTTTAATTAGTTTATATTTTTTTTCTAATTTTAATTTTTTAAAAAATATATTAAATATTTATAAAATAAAATACTTAGTTTTGAATAATTTAATATGATTCTAAAAATATAGATTCTCCATATTATTTTATTAATTTATATTTTAAATTATTATACTCATTTTTTTCATTAACAACTTATTTTAAACATTATTATTCTATTAAAGGCATTTGTAAATCTTAAATTTAAATATATAAATTATCTTAAATTTTATCATTATCATCCTATTCTAAAGTATATTATTTAGTATCTTAAGTATTAATATAAATATTATTTTAATGAATACTAGTTTAACAATCTGAAATCTAATATTTTTAAAAAAGATTTAATAAAATTAAAATGATAAAAACACAATAAATATAGAAAAATAAAAATAAATATATATATAATAAAATAAATATAAATATATATATATATATATATATTTAATGGTATATATATATTTATATATACATATATTTTTATTTATTTTTTATTATATATTTTTTATCTGTTTATATTTTATTGTTTTTACCAAATTTTACATTTCTTTTAACATTTCAGCAATATCAATATTTTCAAAATTTATTATTTAGAAATCCTATTATGTTTATTCAGTTTTTATTTTTCTTTGATTGTTCTTAATCTTTTCATTACATTTTTATATATAACTATTTTCTGATTTAATATTATCTATATTTATTTTCTAATCACTTTTTTTATTTTTTCTCTATTTTTCATATAAAATTCTTATTTTTAATTTTTCTCTTATTTGTTATTTATTATTTATTTTGAATCAAAATTTATTTAAGAAATGATTTTGTTTTAAGAACAATTTTCTTTTTATTATTTTTTCCTATGAATTATAATTCTATTCTTATTTATAATTTATATTTTATTATTAAGTATTTAAATTTTATTATTTAGAATTTTATTTTAATTATTTAGAATTGTATTATTATTATGTAAATAAAGAGTCATATTATTTAGAATTTATTTCTATGTATTCATCGAGAAATGACTTTTATTTATCTTTTTAAATTAATTCATTATTTTATTATTAATTTATAATTTATTGATAAATATAATCCTTTATTTAATTTTTTATTTATTTTTTTTAAAAAAAAAAAATTATTAAATAAAATTATATTTACTTTTTTTTTAATAAAATTACGTCATTTTCAATTTAATTATTTTTTTAATTTTATTTAACTTAAAAATAATTTTCAGAACTAAAATTATACTCTGAACATTCCGACTTTATTTCTTATTTAATTTTATAATTCTAATAAGAAAGTTTTGATTATTAATTTTCTAATATACTAGATGGCCTTTTCTATTTAAATTTTAATAAAAAATATATTGATTATATATATATAATTATATATATATATAATTATATATATATATATATATATATATTTAAAAATTTATTAATTCTATTTTCATTTACTTTTTCTTTATTCTTTTCCTCTTTATATAGATTTTTATTACTTTCTATTTCTTTTAATTATCTTTTTTTCGAATCGTTTCTATTTATTATTTATCTTTTCCTATCTTATTCACTTTTTACAGAACTGACTCTTTCAATAATACGATTTTCTTCTGTATATACCTTTTAATAATCCGGAGTTATATTTTTTTAAATATAATTATTTCTTATTCTTCTGTTTGGAATATTATTTTTTCTTTCTATAGGTGGTAAAGGGATTCCACTTTGAGGTCTTTTTCTTAAATTTTATTCACTCAATTTATTTTTTTACTCTTAATATTCAAACTTATTAATTTTGGATTTAAAATCATTTTAATTTGCTGCTGTTTAAGGCCTTTAAGGAGGTTTTTATTCTATTATTTTTTTTTTTTAAAGTAAATTTTGATCCGAAACTTATTTTTCCTTTGATTATGCTCTAAAAATGACCCTTTCCTTGATAATTTATTTCTATATGTTATTTTTTTCTTAATTTTTAAAAAATTAATTATTATTATTAACTGAAGGATTTATTAAAGGTGGTTTTGGGTATTCTTAAGGATTTTTATTTATTTTTTATTATTAAGAAGGTATTTTTTATTAAGATATATTATTCTTATATGGAATTTTTTAATTATTATTTAGATTAATTCTATTATTATAATTTTTTGGTGTTTTTTTATCATTTATCACATTATTATTTTTATTTAAATTTTGGTTGTTTTTGGGACTTTAAGGAGATTCTTTTTTCGTCTCTTTTTATTAAATAGAAAATTCAACACCGGCTTATCCTTCAAGAAATTTCTAAAAATAAAATAATAATTTATTTTTATATGTTTTACATAATTATGCATTATTGTATGTGAAAATTCATACATCTTTATACTTTCGCTTAAAAAATTCTTTATTCTGTTTCTTATTATTGGTTATTGTAATATTTATTGAATACTAGGCCTTTTTTCTGGCTTTGTTTATAACATTATACTCACTAAATTCTTTAAATCATTCGAATATATACCCGGAATAGGCTTATATTGCCCTTTTAATATATTTAAAGCTAAAAAATGCATTGATTCAGCAGTAAAAGGAGGCTTTAAAGCACATAATTCATATAAAACTACTCCTAAAGACCATATATCACTTTTATATGAATACGGACGATTCTCGATTATTTCAGGAGATAAATAATAAGGAGTACCTATTACTGTTTTAGCTTTTTCACATGTTTTACTTAATACACGGGCTATTCCAAAATCTCCTAGTTTGCAAATATTTTCTTTTGTTAGAAAAATATTTTATCCTTTTATATCTCTATGCAATATTTTTCTGATTTTTTTAAATTATAATTATATGTATATTTTTATAATATGAAAACCTATCGTGTACATGTTTTACGGCTAAACAAATTTATGTAAACCAATCTAAAATTTAATTTTAGGAAAATAATTTTCCATTTGCATTTTAAATCGTTTTTGATAAATCTCCTCCTTTTTTTTTTAATTTAATATATAAATATATAAACAAATATATAAATAAATATATATATTTATTATTTTATATATAAATAATTATAATATTTTTAGCTATTTTATATAAAGAAAATAAGTTTTTTTTATCTAAAATAATATATGAATAAATTTGTTATATATATTCTTTTTGTTAATAAAAAAAAATTAGTAACTATATATAAATATTTATTTATGGTTATTTATTACCATTTGCATATTCCATTACAATACATAGCTTTTAACTTTTTGTTTTATATATTTCTTTGAATTTAACTATATTTGGATGACATAAAATTTCTAATATTTTAGCTTCTTTTACTATTTCTTTTTATTCTTCTGGAGAAAGACTATTCATTGCTATTTATTTAATAACCCACTTTTTTTAATCTGCTTTACTTTCAACTAAAAATGCTTTTCCGTATGAACCTTCACCTAATATGTCTAATTTTGTATATAATTCATATTCAGCTGCTGGTTTTTCGTTCATTTTTATTTAAATTTATTTTATATTATTGTTTTTTTTAAATAAATAAATTAAATTTGTTTATTTTTATTAATTTTTATTTTTTAATTTTTAATAAATATTAAATAAAATATTTATTATAAATGAATTATTTTATATTTGTATATACAATAATTATATTTAAAAAAAAAACATTAACTAAAAGTATTTAGAATAAACTTATATAAATAAAAATTTTTATAAATATTTAATATAAAATAATTTTATAAAAAAAAATATAATTATAAAAAAAAATGTAAATTTAAATATATTTTAAACATAAATAAAATTAAAATATTAAATATATAAAAAATAAAAAAATAAAAAAGAATTTTTAATATACAAATATAAATAAATATAATAAAATATATAAATATAACAATATATAAAAAAATATATATATTTATATATTTATATATTTATTTACTTTTTTTATCTTTTTTTATCTTTTTTTATCTTTTTATCTTTAAATAATTTTTATATAAATAATCAAAATTCATTAAAATTTTAATTATCTCAAAATATTCATTTTAACAATATTTTTTTATTATTTCGATTTTTTTATTTACAAAAAATTTTTTATATAACATTTTTTAAATTATATTAATTTATTTGATTCATTATTTAAAAAAAAAATACTTAAAAGAAATATAAAGATATATATATATAATATATTGGAATTAGAT